AAAAAAAATTACAAAAATAAAATAAAATAAATAGAAGATCCTCTAACATTTCAACAGAAATCACCATCCTCTGTTCTAAATCAGTTGTGATCATTAAAGTAAAACACGGTGGCCATATAGCCCAGAAACCCATGATCAAATTTTTTAAAGATATAAAAGTATTAGAATACCACAAAACTGCATACATTGCCTAATAAAAGCAAATTAAACAGTAACATTTTGAGACAAAATACATTAATGGTACAAAAATAGTAGCAAATACATGCTCAGACTCAAAATATTTACAGTCCAGTGAGAAAAGGCAAACAGATAGAGAAGCTTAATATAAAACAGAATGAGATAAGTCTTAACACCAAGTATCATAGAAACAGTAAAAAAAAAAAAAAAAAAATTTTCTTTGAGGTGTTTAAGCAAGCATTCACAGAGAAGGTAGCATTTGAGTTAACTCTTGAAGGGAAAAGGAGGAAAGATTTTTTGTTTGTTTTTCAGATTTGGTTAATAATAGCACAAAATATAAAGATACAGAGAAGTGACAACATATTTCATGTTATATGAGGTATGAAAGATTCAAAATGATTAGAATTTAGGAAGTGTGGACGGTTAAAGAGAGATAGCCCTAGATAAGCAGAACAGATCCTGAAGGGATTTGAGAAAAATTATTCAGAAGATACACTTAGGGTTTATATAAACTATGTCAGTAGTGTTAAAAAAGGAAAGAAGAAGATACTGTAGAATTTTAAAGAATACAGACTACAGGCAGACAACATAGTAGAAAAATCTCAGATTTACAATTAAATAGACTTGAGCTAGGAACCCTAGCTCTATCACTTATTAACAACAAAATTTTGGGGGGTGCCTGGCTGGCTCAGTTGGCAGAGTGTGTGACTCTTGGTCTCTGGGTTGTGAGTTTGAGCCTCATGTTGGGTGTAGAGATTACTTAAAAAAATAATAATAATAAAACCTTTTAAAAAAAAAAGTAAGGTTTTTCTAAATTGCAACTTCCATTATTTGTCAATTGGGGATGATATGTCATTACTGTAGAACAGCCTTAATATGATGGCAAATACATTGCCCAATGTATTATGTGTCAATTAATGGGTAGCCAAACTTCAGCAGTTCCCTTCTTATACCAAATGGCAGAATGTGAGAGATGACCAGGAAGAAGTCAACACATGTTGCCTCAGTGACTGGGAAGATGAGGAAGTCATTTACTAAAGAAAAACCACATATTGAGGAGGGCATCTTTTGGGATGAACACTGGGTGTTGTATGGAAACCAATGTGACAATAGATTTCATATACTGAAACAAAATAAAAATAAAAAATAAAAAAAAGAAGAACCACAAAAGGATCCGCAGATTTGGAGAAGAGAAAAATGCACCGAGTTTTAGACATGCCAAATTTGCAGTGATAATGGGATACGTATCTACGTGCAAAGATAGAAAGCACAAAAAATCTGGGTCTTGAACTCAGTAGACGGTTCTAACAGAAATAAAATTTTAAGAATTTTAAGCGTACAAGGGAAAGCAAAAAACAAGCGAGCCAAGAAAAGGAGCTCACAAGGAATCACAGGTGAAACAAGAGTCAAGACTGCAAAGAGGAAAGAGTTTCAAAAACAGAGAGGTGGCCAGCAGTTCTAAGTGCTGGATCAAATGCTGTATTTGGTAATTAAGAAGATCTCTGACATTCTACGAGAGCAATTTCAGTGAAACTTGTAAAATGCCAAGTTGCAGATACTGAAGGAATAAATGGGTGGTAAAGACATCAGAGAAAAGAACAGAAGCTATTCTAAAGGTCCTCAAGGGGAAACTCCACAAACATAGTACAGAGACCTGATGTACATCAAAAGAGCCACATGTAAAATAAATTTAGCCTCCATCAAGCTACAAAAAAAAACCTAAGGAAAATTGTATCGTTGATTCTCTGACGAGCATGTTTTGTATTTATACATTTTTTTTTTTGTATGAATGTATTAGAATGAAAGCATGAATCACTGTTTTATAAAAGTCGTGGGTTTGGTAAACAGGCTCTCTCATATCATGAGATTCTTGGTGAAAAAGAAATAAAAAGATTGCTAAGTGCTAAAAGATGGGGGATCATAGAGCTCTTGAAAGAAATCCAACACTGAAGAGAATAAATGCAATTATGAATGATTCAGGTGGAAACCTTCAGACTTCAGAGAAAGTTTCTGTTGCTGTTTTTGATTCAAGGTTTTTGTTGGTTACCTTTTGTTTTCAGAAATTGAAAAACTTCTAGAGGTGTTAGGTTAAGACCAAGAAATCAATGTAAAGATGTTTCCAGATCCAGACAGAAAAGTAACTAAGTGTCACTAAGAATCGGATGGAAAGGTGAGGAAAAAGGACTAACTTTACAAATACTGCAGTTATGCAGAGGCTACAGTCCATGTCCAGTATGCACAGTCTATGGATGCACTCTCACCTAAAACAAAGTTCCTCCTCAGAAGTCCAGTTAACTAGCTAGGTCATTAAATCAATCACAGCTCTAATACATTAGAGGGTATATCAGAGAGAGGGAAAGAGATTTTTAAAGTCTACAAACATGGGTGAAAATGCCCGCTTCTCTACTGGCTACTATTTAACCTTAATGTTACTTAGCTTCTCTGAAGATGTTTCTTCATTTAACAATAACATTTGCGTCCTAAACTGTGAGGAACACCAAAAGGGATGATTTATGTAAAGAGCTCACCACAGTGTCTGGCACAAGGTAACCATTTAAGAAACAACAGCTGTAACTACTAAAATGAAATATAAATTAATATTTCTCTGACCGTAGGATTGAGAAGACCTAAGATTTAAAGGAAAGGAAACAGGAAAGATTAACGTATCTGGCTACGCATTTTTTGAGTAAAATTTTTTATGTGAACAAATAGAAAATGTTAAAAAGCATCATATAAAACTAAAACAAAAATGGTAAAAGAATGGATTTACATGAATTAGTTTTCTTCACACAACAAAAAGATAACCCCCCCCCCC